ACAGCTTCTTGCTGACGGACTTTAATATCAAGTGAGTAGACAGAGACATTTAACACATACATTACTCCCTTGCTTCTTTAATATACAATTCTTGTCATTTATGTGGAAGAAGCCTCGAGACTAAAATGTTGCATGTTCTAGTCTTAGAGATTTCCAGTGAGAGTAAGAAAACACTACCAGACTTATACTCAAAATAACAGTCCTGTGCTTTCTACCCTCAAAGCTGAGGCCAAAATATTAAAAGAGAAAAATGCAACCACTTGGAAGGAGTCTATAGGGAACGGTTGCTATAGAAAACGTAAGCTGTAACATGTGCCAAGTAGATCTTCAGCCTGACACACTCTTCTTAATGACATTTCACAGACACAGATATCAGATCATTGATAACATGGACCAGTGATGTTTAAAAAGAAGACATATCGATGCCAAGCTTAAAACACACCCAAAAGGAGAAAGCAGTTGAAAAGTTAATTATCTTTATGAACTTTTACCCTGCACCACTATTTATGTATTGCTGGCTGGGCGGTAATATTGGAGACTATAAAGCTGATGTTCTTTACTTTTTAAATTTCTAAAAGCTGTAAACAGTGGATTCAGGCCAGTACGTAACGTAGGCTTGTGGGTCATACGTGAGCCATTTCTCCTCCTTCAGAAATTCAAGACCAGAGACAGCTGAGGGAAAACTGCCTTTTCCATCCCACCAAAGCCTGTGGCCCTCCTCTGTTACAGTGGACAGATATCTCAGGGATTCCCAGTTCCTGTCCTTTATGCACAAGTCCTTGACTCTATATAATGGTGTTTTATAAACATCCATAACAAGTGACATCATCCCCTATGTTGTTTACTATATTAAAAATTACTTGACCCTCCCACTGGGAAGAATAGTATTGATATGACTGTTTTCTTATTCTATTGAATGAATCTCTCAAGACTGGATGCTTTAGGCACTAAGATAACCACAGAGGAACTATAAATACAAACAGGTCCTCTCAGAGCACTACTGTTTCCGAGCAGCAAGCAAAGAGGGGGTGGGGAAATGACCCAATGACACGGTGAGAAGCTTCTCGGTGAAGCGAGTCATGTTCACCAAGGCATGGCCAGTGGGGACAGAGCAGAAACTTGGGATGGCTCCAAAGAGGGGAGCTACAAACTGACTAACAAGCGACACACCCAGTGAGACTATCTCCAAGCAAACCTTCACAGAGGAATAAAGAATGTTTTTGTCGGAAGACTTCCAAGACTCCAACCGCAAGATGAGGAGATTGCTGACTGATATCAGTAGCCAAATGATGTGTTCAGAGCACAGAAACAATTGTGCCAGAGCAAAGCAGGGCTATGGATATTCATGTAGAAACAACTATTTTATATTTTTTAAGTATGGAGGGTAACAGCCTGTATGAATACTAGCCAACACTAAAGAAATGAGACAGATTATAGATATCACTGATAAAACTCAAAGAGCTAAAATAACCTATGTACTATAGTCAGTATTTTCATTAATTTAGAGGAAAAATTTTTTAAAGAGAGGGGGTAGTGCCTATCTCGCTGCTAATAAAGTCAAGAGAATGTGTATCGAAAACAGTGTAAGAACAGAGCAGGCAGCAGTTCCATTGATAAACATCTGCCTGCATGCAAGCACAAGTACCTGAGATCAGATCCTTTGCACCCACGTAAAAGCCAGGCATGAGAGTCTCACAATCAGAGCATACGGAAGGCAGAGGTAAGGGGAGCCATGGATCTCACTGTGCAAACCAGCCTCGGCCAGCTGATCAACTCCAGATGCTGTGAAACTTCCCATTGCAAACAAGCAAGCTAGAGAGTGACCATAGCGGGCACCCAGTGTTGAAGGCTTCTCCATGCACAAACACAGATGTACACAACACACATACATACAGAGAAATGTACATAATACACACACACACATACACAGAGCAGTAATCTTCAGCTTTCAGCTCACTAGATACCAAATCAAACTTGCTAGGGCGAAGATTATTACCACAAACAGGCTCACCCCAATCGTCCATCAACCTGACAAATAAATGCACAAGAAGTACTTGCTACTCGGATGTGTGCCCTGTCTGAGACTCCAGTGCAGAGGTGGCGTCCGTGTGGAGTCTGACATGCCACTGTGCTATCAGCTGAGCGATTGTAAGAAGGTCCTCTGACTGCAGATGTGGATAGTGCAGAATGCCAGTTTAAAGAAAGAACAGCAGTCTTGAAGGATAAAAGCTGCTGAAACTACGAGATAAGACATCAAGAATCTCACTGATGGTAAAAATTAATGAGATTGCTGAAATAGAAATTTTATTTATATAGACATATAGATAGATTTGTATAGACATATGCTTTATTAACAAGCATACTCTATAGCATGTATGAATGTGGCTAAGTATTTGTTATCACTATTAGAGAAGAAATTACATTTATTTTAATTTGTATTAGTTTGGAACAATTCAGAAATATTCTACTCTAATTTGTTCTTTTTTGGGTCAAAACAGTGTTTTCAGTCAAGTCTGGATAGTCTTACTTGTAATGATATGCCCATCACTTAGCCTAGGTATAGTTTTTAGGAATCATTTCAAACCACACAGACCAGAACTGTACATAAGCTGCAGTTAAATCCAGAACAGGTGTCACAATGAACAAAGATCTGAAACCAGTCAAAGCTCAGAGAATGAGAGACTGCATAGACTTGGCCCTAGATAGACATCTGTATCTTCCCACGTCCTCCCAGGGCTCGGGGAACATATCAAAGAAGAGAGGCAAAAAGATCAGGAGAACCAAAGTGGAAATGCAACAGAGAAGGTGCTTGTATGAACTCACAACTGTTGGGACAGCCTGCACAAGACCTGTGCAAGATGAAGCCAGGCACAAGTGGGGAGTGGGAAGGTGGCCGTGAAGTCCCACCCCTACTGAGGCACTATTGGCAATTGGTGCTACTAGGAAAGAGGAGTCAGTTTTCTGCAGGGATGCAGCAGCTGGGTTACCCATGCCCCACTAAGCCTATACACCGCACATACTGGCAGCACTAAATGGACAAACTGGATTCAACAACAACAATAACCAATCAAAGCAAAAACAAAACAAAAGACCAAAATAACAAACGAAAAATCATGAAATTGTGAGGAATAGTGGGGGCAGGAGAAGAGGAGTTGGAGATGAGGGAAATAGGGGGAAGATTTTACCCAAACATATGCATGAAACTCTCAAACAATTAACAATAAAGGAAGAGGCGCCACCATGAGATGTGGTTACTCTAGCCACACGTTCTGAGCAATTGCTAATCATTAGAAATATGTAAAACACAAGGGACCTCTTTAAATAGAACATCTACTTAGTCTCCATACTCTCGTAAACTAAATATAACGGCACATTTTCATAGACACATTTCTGTAAAATGCCATCTAATTCCTCAAGATTGTGGAGCTTAGTATCATAGATAGCTCCTTTTCTGCAAACCCTTCCATAGCCAGACTCAGCGCGAAGGGTCACATGGTTCTCAATAAAGGCATTTTCTCTCCATCTTCTGAACACATAAATCTCCATCTTCTGAACACACGAGAAAACCCTTAAATGATACAGTTTTCAAATCAAGATCATTCCTCCTCTGTCACCCACTGGGCAGACCATGCAGCCTAATTGAGTTTAAATATTTCTCAGTAAGGATTGTGAGCACACAACTGAGTGAGGAGGAACAGAAAAATCTTTGTAACTTCATCCATGGCCCGGAGGGTGCTGTTCCAAGTATACATTAGGTAAAACTACATAAATTGACATTTCTGTGAATCACAACTGGTTTAACAGAGATCTGTAACCAGTCAAAGAGACTCGATGAAACTTTATACGAAATGAATTAATGATATTCTCAAACAAAGGCATTTGGACAGCTGCCAACAAAGCTGGTTTCCATGGCCATCCTCCTAGCAACGCGTGTGGACACCAAGTTCCGCAGTTTATGCAAACCTAAACTGGTATTGAGCACAGCAGTTCCATGAATCAGGCAGATTAAATGCCCTGATCTCTGCTTTGCAGATGAGGAAAATAAGGTGCAAACATTAAATCACTGGTAAATGTGTATAAAAGTTAAGTCACCTCTGTGAACATCCAAAAGTAATAAGAAAGGGAATCTAACCCTTTCTCTTAGAATCTATTGCAAATAGCATCCTTCAAAGGGTGAATCAAAAGTATGTAAGGGCACCTTGTGAGCCAGCATGATGGTACACACTGGGCTCCCGCCACCAAAGAGAAAGAAAACATGCTGGTTCTAGTAGCTCACTCCCAGAGTGTACATGTGGACAGATTCCAGAAACATCTACGTGATAAGAGGCTAGATTGGAATTACCAAGTGCTTTCAAAATATGTGGGTGGGAACTCAAGTACATTCTTATAATTTATTTGCCTACTTCTGCAACTCATACTTTTCTCTAGAATTTTATCCTTTCCCTCACAGGCCCGTCTCTTATCCACAAAGGTCACGTCTGGTTAACTGGAGACTCAAACACTGCACAAAGCAAACACTGTGGACCGCACACCATCAGTCAGGGCACCAGCCTGGTAACTTCTGGTAACCACAGCCTGGAATGCAGCTCACAATGGCATCTATTAGCTAAAGTAAACAGCCAACGACTCAAATCGATTTCGGCAATGTAATGACTCCACTTAACCCTAAAGAGACACTCACCACAGTGATCATCGTATCTTCCTGATGAAAGGGATCCTGTATGTTAACTTGAAAATGAGGCAATTACATAGAGTGTGAGCTATAGTCAGATATAATCAAGTCCCTCTTCAACTATCTGCCCATAAAGCAATGACAGGCTCTTGCTTATTTACTAATTAAAAATAATATATATTTTACCAACACTATCTTTAGATACCAAGACTGATAACCCCTTCTCTACTGTCTCAGACTGGGGAGGTGTCAGCTTACAGAGATCAAATCTCACTTGGGACCAAGGACACAACCCTGTGACTGTGGAGAGCGAGCCTTAAATACTTACTCACACAGCAGAACACCATTTTCTAGAGAGGCTCGAAAATCCTTGGTTTCAAAATTCTTCTCAGTCACAGCCTGAAAGACAGACGTGGGCATTCAGTAAGTAGGGACGAGAAACAAAGTCAATTCACAATGCTGTTAACTAACAAGCATTTGATGTTTTAGCTGAATGATTTGCTTGTATCACCAAAAGTCATTCCTCATAGAAATTGTGTACTATTCTGTGTTATAACCATGTTAGTGTGAATAAGTGTGTCCTGTGGTGTAATCATTTTATTGGATGACAGAGTAAGGTTACAGAGGCCATGAATTTGAGGAAGAGCAAGGGTAGAAGGGAGGGATCAAAAGGAGGAAAGGGAAGGAGCAATGATGTAACTATACTACAACCTCAAACAAAAATGAAGAAATATTTTTTAAAAACTAAACTAAATTTTTGTTTGGTTTTTCAAGACAGGGTTTCTCTCTAGCTTTGGAGCTTGTCCTGGAGCCTCTTGTAGACCAGGCTGGCCTCAAACTCAGAGAAATCTGCCTGCCTCTGCCTCCCGAGTACTGGGATTAAAGGAGTGTGCCACCACTGCCCAGCTAAACTCAATTTCTAACGAGTTTCAAAAGAGAACTATGGGTGAATCAATAAGAGTAAATATACACAATTTAAGATACAAACTGGAGAAAACTACATTTGAAAGTCATGAATCTTACATCCCAGGTCAGGTAAATGGGTCAGGCACATGATGCAATAATGTCCACCATTCTCCTCTCTCACTGTTGCTGTCTCTGCCATTCACCCAGAACTCTGGATTCCATAATGTTCCATAGTGCCTGAGATTGCTACAGCCAGATAGTAGGCCTGAGAAGTCAGGGGATAACTTCACAGCTGCTTTTCTACTCAAAGTTAGCAGAGCAGAGCATGGTAATGTGTGTCTATATTCCATAAGACCGACACACACACACACATGCATACACACAGACACACACACACACACACACACACACACACAGGGGACAGGGATAGAGAGAGGAAAAGAAGAGAGATTGACTTAGTTTCTCATCATAAGTGTCTGGCCAGGCTGTGATATCCTCAAACCCAGGAAGAAATAGAGGGTCCATCTCCTGTATGACATCCACTCAGCTGTAGAAATTAAACACAATCCTTCTGTCTCTGTTCCTACTGGAACACAGAGCTGAAGGTTAATAATAAAGAAGCAAGTAGCTTTGCCCTCTTAGATCTCAGGCATAGAAGTAAAGACCACATCTAAAAGCATAGTTTAAAAAAACTGCCTAGACAGAATGATGTACCTTACTCCTTTCAGAATTACCAGATTAGCTCGGATAACCTGTGCAACCAACTCCAGAATTTCCCCCACAAACATATCAGAAACAAACTCAAAGTGAGGGTGGACCCACGTATGAAAAACACCGAGACAGCTAATTCTTCAGAAATCTCCTCCCAATAGTCAAAGAGCGAGACCCAGAAATGCTCGACACAGTCAGAGTCACTATCTCCAATCCAAGCAAAACCCTCGGGAGCACCAGTATAGGACAACCATGACATTCTCAAGCCATTTAGATGACAAATGGTGATGGAGAGGAAAGGCTGTGATCTGCAGACACACGGAGAGCAATGAAAAATGACAGTCACCACAGTGCACAGCCAGTCCAGAGAGCAGAGTGTAGCAAGTGACAAGAGGGAAGGGACTTGAGGCACACAAAGCTTAGCTCAACTCTACTTTCACTGCCTAAGAGCGATGAGTTATCAAACACATTAAATCATCTCCCCCGAGTCTGGAAATCCAAACAGGGAAAATAATCGCAAGACCATTCATGTGTAAAGGCTGCCAAGAGTGTCCACCTAACCCACGACATGAGTGAATTCTGACGTTGTCACTTGTCCATACTCTAGAGTAATTTAACACACAGCCAGGCTGAATTATGCCTAGAATCCTATTAAATAAAGTCAAGATGCTGAAAAAGAGCTATTCAGAAACCCTAACTGCCCCCAAAGGGCTCACTTTAAAAGACTACAGAGCAGGGGCTGGATAGCTGACTTGGTGGTTAGAGCACTGCTCTTCCAGAGGACCCAGGTTCAATTCCCACTACCCACACGGTGGCTCACAATCATCTGCAACTCGAGTTTTTACAGTAGGTAACTTCTCACTATCTATTCACTTCCCACAGCAGGAAATTCAGTCCTTCCCATCACTCACGTTTCACCAGTAAGAAATGTGAAGCTAAGCAACTCAACTGTCCAGAAAATCAACCCCATGTTCATTAGATTCTAGAAACCTAAATTAACAAACCACACCATTACACCTTCAAAATTAATCCTTAAGTGTTGAGCGTTTAAACGGCTACTCACATTTCTAAAAGTTCATTGTTTTCAGTAGTCTGACTTAAAGATGGCATTGTTTTTAACCACAAACTGAGTATGTGTGTGTACACATGCGTGTTCGTGTGTGTGATAATGAAAATAAAACTTGGATACTCTAATATTTCATACAATGAAAATTCTTTCTGAATACTTTAATCTTCTCTAGACATTTTATGCACCTTAGAAAGCAAGCATACTCCAGGTTGGTGGTGGCAAACGCCTTTAATCCCAGCACTCAGGAGTCAAAGGCAAGCAGATCTCTGAGTTCAAGGCCATCCTGGCTTACACAGTGAATTCCCGGACAGCCAAAGTTACACAGGGAATCCTTGTCTCAAAAAACCAGGAAGGAAGAAAGAGAGGGAGGGAGGGAGGGAGGGAGGGAGGGAGGGAGGGAGGGAGGAAAGCAGAAGAAAAGGAGGGAAAATGTGTGTGCTATACATATTGCCTATCCCATTTCAGTAACTCAAAACTGATTAATTCTCAAGCAGCAATTCCTGCATCCATACATAAAGTTAGCTATAACCCTGCCTGCAGAACCGAAGTGAAATGATACAAAACTCTTGAGACGTTTAAACCAAGGGAAGCATAAATTCGCAGTATGAATGTCTTTCAACACCAGAGCCCACCTGAGCTGCATTCCTTAAGGTCACTGCCCCAGCATCACCAGCTGCCCAGGGAAGGCTGGGGTCAGGATTCTGGCTCCTGGAGTCTGTGTTTCAACTCCTGCTCTACCACTCTCTACCAGTAACTGTCCAGACTGCTTCACCTGTTGGCATCCTCACCCGTGAGAGGGAGACGACAGGTCTTGTGGAGTCAGGCTGGGAATTACATGAGATGACACACTTAATTACGATGACAGACTTAATGCCTGGCTCAGAAGCAGTCCCAAACACTAGCCATTACAGCAGGTGCTCTCTAGCCAGACAGCAACTCTTACCATCTTTCCACAGTAGAGAAAAAGCTGTGTCCTTGAACATGGATGTCTAACTTACCTGGTATTAACTCAGCATTCTTTAAAGAAACTGACTCCAGACTATAAAAAGTTACCAAATCAATGCTGTATCTAAAAACATTGTTAAAAATTAAAACGATCTGTAAAACACCTCGTAACACGGTGAGGGCAGTTTGTTTTTAAAAATTAAATTATAGGGTTTTTGGGGTTTTTTTTTAATTGATTTTATTGAGCTACACATTTTTTTTTCTGTTCCCCTCCCTGCCTCTCACCTCACCTTCAACACTCTCCCAAGGTCCCCATGCTCCCAATTTTCTCAGGAGATCTTGTCTCTTTCTACTTCCCTAAATTATACTTTTAAATGAGACCCATCCTTACACTAAGGAGAATAAATATTTGTAAGAAATCAGTGGTCTGGAAGAAATTCCAGTTTTGAGAGAACATTTGGGCAGTTTTAGTCATCTGGGTCTCCGATGACTGGGAACCTTACTCATTAGCAAGCTATTTAAGGTGTGATACGTTTTTACGTAATGAGGCTGTGATTCATAGGGTTAAGTAAATAGAGACCACAGGCTTTCCACTTAAGTTATCAAACAAACAGGTGTGATCACCTTGCAGTCAGCCACGCCTTCCCCTCTAAACCATCTCTTTCTCCCTCCCTCTTCCCTCTCTCTTTTTCTCCCTCTCTCCTTTCCATGTGATCCAGTTAAATGAAATCACCATCTTAAATAATTTGAGGACACATTCATTCAAGGACAGGATTTAAACTCAGAGCTGGTCCACATCACACCACGTGGTCCTGCTTGACCCCTGCCTATCAAAGGGAAAAATCTTTGCCCTCTCCTTCATGGTATACAAAAGATGCTTTAAAGTACTTAGCCTGCTCTAGAACAAAAGGGGACTCCCCCTCTAGCCCAAGCTCCTTCTTGCAAGCATGTGTCCCCAGGTGCTGAGAGGTCACCCTGCTGAAAGGAAGCCACGGAGTGACAGGACCAAGCGGGGACTCCTGACTGAGATGCCTGTTGGAAGTCATAATTAAGCTAATAAAGTATAGGAGGGACAGAGCTGGCGCCAGGACACATTCTGCACAGCGCTGCCGCCAAACCTGTCTAGCCACCTGCCTCCAAACATTAACAGAGGGAGCTTTTAAAGGGCAGATCTTGTGGAAGACGATAATAGCTAATGACAGGCAGCAACCATCAAGTTCACAAGTGTTCAAAAAAAACAACATTTATTCTGTTATAAAATATCTAAATTCAATAAATAAACAGGAATTACCTTTTGAACCCCTTCTTGTCTGACTGATGGTTTTGCTCTAATCCTTTCACTGGATAAGATTTCTCACCAATACAAGCAACAACTCCCCCAAAACTTCGTAGCTCAGTTCTATCTCTGACCATATAATCACATAACTTAAATCTAAACATTATAGAAACTTCTCAATGACCGTTCATGTGCATGTTATCAGCAAAACACCCACTGACTGCCAATCAGCAAGCTCTAGCCCTAAAATTTTTCACATTGTCTGGTGCAGCCACTGGAAAGTGTCCACAATCCTGAAGACTATCTCTATTTTTGTGCAAGTCAAGATTCCAGAAATGCAGGGCCTGTGCGCATTTGTTTTAAAAGGGATAAGCAGGGGTCATTTCCTGATCAACACTAGGCTGTGAACTTCAGTTGTGCTAACAACTGATTCCCAATTGTCATCTCACAATTGACTTAGCAGCTACTAAAATATATATGCTTGGAGCTGGA